GGGGCGCGGAGAGAGCGAAGCCGCTGGCTGGTGTCCGGGGTGTCAGAGTGTCCCGGGAAGTCTGAGCTGTGCCTGGTTTGCTTCTCTTTGTCTCCCGTGAGCGGCCGCGTGGTCCCCCCGCAGGGCTCTCGGCCTCGCCGCAGCGGACCCGGGACGGGACGCCTGTGCAGAATGGGGTTGTTGTTTAGGGTGGTGCTTCCCCGTGCCGCACGCCCGGCCTTGGCAGCGCGTTCTACTGGGCACCCGCTGCGCTCCTCACCGACCCAGCCGCCAGCCTGCTCCAAACGCCCGGGACCTGGGAGAGAATCCCCGTCGGCAGTAGAGGGATGCTGGTGTCCGGGGGAGCAGTTCCGCGTCCATCCTGCAGGGGGTGTTCAGTCTTTGCAGGGCCCCGCTGGGCCGCTGGCCGGGCAGATGCAGAGCCAAGTCCCTGCCCCAAAGAGCTGGCAGAGCACGTGTCAGACGGAGGGGCAGGGACGGATCTGGGCGGGTTTTGGGGAGGGGCTTGGAGGGGGGCACTGAGGGTGGCGTTGCCCATGTCCACAGGGAGCTTCTCCCCAGGGTGAGGAGCAGCCAGGCAGGAAACCAAGTGCTTGTTTGAAAATAACGAAGGTGTTCATGTGCGCACGCAGGTACGCAAACACACACACACGCATGCATGCAAACACACGCACATGCATGCACACAAACACGCACACACACGCAAACACTGAAGCATGCACACAAACACGCACATGCATGCACACAAACATGCACACACACGCAAACACTGAAGCATGCACACAAACGCACACACGCAGGCAAACACATGCACTCAAATGCACATGTGCACAAACACATGCATGCACATGTGTGCAGACAAGCAGGCATGCAAACACACACAAACACATGCATATGTGTGCAAGCAAACACATGCTAACACATGTTCATGGGTACAAACATGCACACAAATACGCACATGCATGCACAACTACATGCAAACACATGTACACAAACACACTTACGCATGTGCAACCACACACACGTGCAAACACACACTCCAGCGGCTGATGACAGTATTTACATTTACTTCTAATTTCAGGCTCCCTTTCTGTCCATGTTTCCTGCCTCTTTGGTTCCCGCTGAGGGTAGGAGGCAGCAGCTCTGCCCAGGGTAGTGCCTCTCCGCCGGGGTCTCTCCTGGACTCCCCGGGGGGTGGAGCCCCACAGGTTGGGGCGGGCGAGCGTTGGGAGGGCTCCAGGGAAGGGGGGCTCTGGCCAGGCTGCGGGGCGGCTGCCTTAGGGGAGGCAGGGCCGTCTCGAGCGGGGTGTGTGCTGTGCAGGCTCCATGGTGGCTGGGAGCAGGGGGGGATGGGTGTGATGGCGCGTCGGGGTCCCCCTGGTCCTGCACCCCAGTAGCAGTAAGAACAGACTCCGCCAGCCAGTAGAACGGGGGGGTTATTGCTCCTCCGGGTACAGCCCAGCACAGACGGGACGTGGGTACTGGAGTCAGGGCCAGGCAGCCTCAGCCCCCTGGGGTTAGGGGTCGATCGCCCCCCATAGGCCCTCAGCTTAGGCTGTTCCCTTCATGGTTCCCAGCCACCACTACCCCTTCCTCCGAAACCTG